TAATAATAATAATAATAATAATAAAATCAATAATAATAATAATAATAATAATAATAATACTAATAATAACAAAAATAATAATAATAATAATAATAATAATAATAATAATAATAATAATAATAATAATTACCATTATTATTATTAGCATTGTTAATAATAATACTACTACTACTACTAATAATAATAATAATAATAATAACAATAATAATAATGATATTATTAGTATTGTTAATACTACTACTACTACTACTACTACTACTACTACTAATAATAATAATAATAATAATAATAATAATAATCATATTAATAATAATAATAATAATAATAATAATAATAATAATAATACTATTGATATTATTAGTATTGTTAATACTACTACTGCTACTACTACTGATAATAATAATAATGATAATAATAATAATAATAATAATAATAATAATAATAATAATAATAATAATAATAATAATAATAATAATAATAATAATAATAATAATAATAAAAGCAATTAAAAAAATAATCAGAATGCATATGATCCACACTTTACAACTGCTGAAGACCTTGTTATCATAAAGCATGATGTGTTTTTATATCTTAGACAGAAATATTGATCTAAATTATGACCCAGAACTCAAAACCACTTCAGTGTCTGAGAGCTGAGTATCACTGAGTGGATCATTCAGCCTCGCCAACCTCACATTTATTTATGTCTGCTTACAGACATTCAGCAAATACTCAAGGCAGAAATGGATCCAGTTTCCCCCAAAGGTTAGCACTTCTTTAAAACTATTGCATACGCCAAATAGCATGACAGCACAGTTTGGTGAGTGACATGATGATTCCAAATCATTATATCACTTCTGATTAGGATTCCACAGAGGAAAGTCCGGCATCTGCATCATTAGTATTAGTCTAGCCGAAATGCCACTCAGACTGGATAATAAGGATTCACAGTTAAGCTCTAGAGAAATTAAATGTCATTTATTATCTTTTTAATAAAGCCTTCTCCATGTTAATGAAATTAGTAAACCGTACCTGTAGGTCGGAACAGGGTTTCCTCTGGCTTCACAATTCATTATGATTTTCTTATCGTCTGAATCCAAGGAAAAAATTGCATCGTCAGGCTCTTGAATGAACACCGGACCAAACTCCTCGCTCTCTGTGGGGGAGAAGGGTAAAAGAAAGGTAAAAAAAAAAACAGTTTGCAATGGTATAACCGTGAAATAGGAGTCATTGTTGTGATATTCTGATAGGAACTGTGTAATATTGACACTTTTTAGTCTGCATTGTCATACCATATTACAGTGTATATACACAGCGATGTGAAAAGGTTTTTGATCAAACTAACCTATTTTTGTCACACTTTACTGTTTCAGTAAACAAATTTAAATATTAGCCAAAGATAACACAAGTAAACACGTCATGCAGTTTTGAAATTAAGTTGTTTAATATTAAGGTAAAACTAAATACAAAACAACATAGACCTGCGTGAAAAAGTGTTAGCCCCCTAAACCTACAGTGATAACTAGTTGGGCCACCCTTAGCAGCAACAACTGCTGTCAAGCGTTTTAGATAACTTGCAATGAGTCTACATGGCTGTGGAAGAATTTTGGCATTCTTTTCTTTGCAAAATTAATATTATATAATAATCACCCTTTTATATCATTTCACAGTGTCTCAATTGGATTCAGATCAGGACTTTGACTAGGCCACTCCGAAGTCTTCATTTTGTTTTTCTTCAGCTATTCAGAAGTGGACTTCTGTGAAGTGGACAGTGTACAAGTGTGTTTTGGAACACTGTCCTGCTGCAGAATGTACACAGCAGAAAGGTACACAGCAGAATCCATGTCTTCCAGGTTCTGAAGCAGCAAAACAGCCCTAGACAATCACAGTTCTTCCACCACAGTTTACTATTGGTACCCAGCAGGCACACACATATGATTTTGTATGTTCTGATAGGAATTGTTTGATGTTGAAAACGTTTTTGTAGTCTGCATTGTTGTATCATACTGTGTGCATATACAGTAGAGTGAAAAAGTGTTACTGATTTATTTATTTGCATGTTTGTCACAGTAGCAGCAACAACTGCTAACTTTCACTAGTTCACTAGAGTCTAGTAGGGCTGTGGATGAATTTTGCCCCTATATTTTTGCAGAATTGTTGTAATTTAGCAACATTGGATACTTTTTAAACATCCAAACCACCTTTTTAGGGTATTTTGTGACTCTTGGATGAGTTGCCCCTGCACTCTTGGGGTAATTCTGGTCAGCTTTCCACTACTGGTACTCCACTGGAAGGTTATCCACTTTTCCATTTTTTTATTTATTTATTGCTTTATGTTGATAATAGCTCTCATAGTACTGCAGCCCCAAAGCTTTAGAAATTACGCCACCAGGAAATTAACACACATCTTTAGATATGTCTTTACATATTTGATTTCATTCATTCAATCATTCATTCATTCATTCATTCATTCATTCATTCATTCATTCATTCATTCATTCATTCATTCATTCATTCATTCATTCATTCATTCATTCATTCGTTCGTTCATTCATTCATTCATTCATTCATTCATTCATTCATTCATTCATATTTGATTTGAGATTGCAAGTAATAAAAGGGCAATATATTTAAATAGTCTAGGTTAGCAAGTGAAGGTTGCGGGTTCCAACACAGGAAGGGTTGATGCATGAGCTTTCACTACTGTACCCTTGAGAAAGACACTGGCTCTGCCTTCATGTCCTCCCGGGAAGCTCCAACTTATGAGTTCAGAAATCTTATTAAGTCAATATAAAATTGCAGCCACATAATCATAAAAAACATGCTGGGCAAGTTCATATTTCTTTTACTCTCTTTTTAATGCTTCATGACAAAGATATGAGGTTTTTTAAAGCAGCGGAACTAAATGAAGGTAGGAAAAGTGAGTAATTGCAGATTTAATTGATGCTTTAATTTGTGTATTTTATTACTGCTGTGCTTCCACAAAGTACGCTCAACAAATAAATAATGTGATTTAATATAGTTATGGCACATTTTCACACATTTGAATTATGTTCTTTAAACCAATTTAAGTCAAATTTGAACCCAAGAGCAAACATAATTTCAAACCAACAAGATCAAATCACTTCCATGTGAATTGTCTTGCAGATTTAACCTAAACACACTTTACTCTTGTTAAACCAGTCATTCTTAAGCACTTAATTTAAACAACTAGAATGAATAATGCAAACTAATTTAACAACATTTATTGTATTGCATATAATTTATCGGTGGCTCGGTGGTTAGGACTGTCGCCTCGAAGCAAGAAGGTCGCTGGTTCTGGCATTTCTGTTTTCTGGCACCCCCCCCCCCCCCCCCTAATCCCACACACTAAATTGGCCATAATGTATGTGAGTGAATGAGTGTGTACTGTATTTTACAGTACTGGGTTGCAGCTGGAAGGGTGGGGAAGGGAAGCATCTGCTGTGTAAAACATATGCTGGATAAGTTGGCTTTTTTTTTCTGCTGTGGTGACCCATGATGTATAAAGGTACTAAGCCGATGGAAAATGAATGAAGGAATACTTAGACAACTGAAAAAAACTCAGAACTGGAATTAAACTGCACAGGTATATCTCACCAAATAAAGCAACACATGATGTTGATAATGAAGACACATTAACTCAATAATCACTAGACATTTAAATATTGAATATATAAATATATAGGTTAAAGAAAAGGCTAAAGGTGAACCAAGTTTGTAATAATATGTAATTTTTTTTTTTTTTTTTTTTTTGTGAAATTGTTATGAATTTTTAATGTTGTGTTGTTTATAATTTTGCTGATGTTGTATGTGTTAATGTGCTTTTGCAGGGGGCAACAGGTTAAAATTGTGTCCTTGTGGCTAACTGCTTATTTACTGTTTTACTGTTATTATTAAGCATTATCCCTGAGTAAAAATGTTATTTTTCTTTAAATTTATTTTTAAAAAGTAGCTACACTTAAAGTGATTAAGGATATAATAATAATAATATAATAATAAAAAAATAATAATAATAATAATATCAATAATAATAATAGTAATACTACTACTACTACTACTACTACTACTTCTACTACCACTACTACTACTACTACTACTACTACTACTACTAATGATAATAATAATAATAATAACAACATTAATAATAATAAAAATAATTATTATTAAAATTATTATTATTGTTATTGTTGTTGTTTTTGTTGTTTTTTAATTTTAGATTTATTAGTATGTTTATTATTGTTATAAATGAATGAATGAATCAATCAATTAATAAATAAATAATCTATTGTGATGATATCGTTGTAATATTAGCATGATAAATGTCCAAAAAAATACAGTATGTAAAAAGCTAAAAACCAAAATATTTTAGTATATTGCAAGAAAAAAACAAACAAACTTAATATTAGCATGCTACAAATCAAAATATTATTGTTGTTGTTATCATTATTGTTATATTGATATTATTATTATACTTAGTATTGTTATTTTATAGTTATAAATAAATAAATAAATAAATAAATAAATAAATAAATAAATAAATAAATAAATAAATAAATACATAGTCTATTGTGATGATACAATTGTAATATTAGCATGATGAATGTTCAAAAAATGCAGTATGTATGAAGCTAAAAACTAAAATATTTTAGTATATAGCAAGAAAAAAGACAGACAAACAAACAAACAAACACACAAGCAAGCAAACAAACATGAAACATAATATTAGAATATTACAAATCAAAATATTGTTGTTAGTATTATTATTATTATTATTATTATTATTATTATTAATATTATTATTATTATTATTATTATTATTATTGTTGTTGTTGTTATACTTAGTATTGCTATTTTTATTGTTATAAATAAATAAATAAATAAATAAATAAATAAATAAATAAATAAATAAATAAATAATCATGATGAATGTCCAAAAAAATACAGTATGTATAAAGCTAAAAACTAAAATATTTTAGTATATTGTAAAAAAAATAATAAAATAAAATAAAAAGCATAATATTAGAATATTACAAATCAAAATGCAACTGTATGCTAAATACAGGTGGGCTGTCATGTCTACGCTTATATTGCCTTGGTTTTAGCATTTTTTCTTCTTATTATTAGTAATATTTTTACTAGCAAGGCACACATCCCAAAATCATTGCATTATCATTGTACACGTCTCATCAAATGTTCATGTGTTTGCTAACTGATCTGATGTGTAAAATCAGTCCCATTGTTCAGCATAAACTCACTGGCATGCTGGTGGAGTAGATCTCTTGAGTGTTTTCTAATGGGAAGGACTCTGGGTTATTCTACTGAGATATGTTATTGAGTTCACCCTGGGGGCTGAATATATGAGACGGTTAACAGGATTCCTAATGTGGACTGTCTGCCATGTGGATCCAACTGCGGGAATGAGCCAAAACTGATTTGAATTGTTAAAACTCCATTATGCGTTTGACATACATATATAGCCTATATTTGGACCACATATCCAAATTCATATCCCTATTCATAAGTGACGTGCAAGTGCGTAATACTTGTAGGAGGCATGGAATCAGTTTGAGCCCAGATTTTGTGGAGTTGAAGATGTGTTCATTAAACATTTGTGGTTGAAGCAAATTAAACGTGGTTGTCCGTGTTAATGGCAAATTAATTTGTGGACATCCTGTGTTGTTTTTGTTGGGGGGGATATCAATAATGTTTGCAGAACATGTGACTGATTTAGCTGGTTTATGAGAAAGCATGTGTTTATGACAACATTTTTTATCATTCAGTCAAATATGCAAAAGTGCTGCTTGTTCAGATTACTTGTTTAAAATGAGTTGAAAAAAATGAGTAGACTGCTTTTTTTATTATGTTCAATGCATTTAAATTTGTATAATACACTCTCAGAAATAAAGGTACACACGTTGTCACTGCGTTTCAAAAGGTGCACATTTGTATTTAATCGTAAAAGGGTCCATAATGGTACCTCAAAAGTATATATTAGTACCCTTGAGGTAATAATATGGACCTTTTAGGAACAAATTTGTACCTTTTGAAAAGGTACCACCCCAGTGACAACTCGTGTACCTTTATTTCTGAGAGTGTATAATGAAAAATAATAAATGAAATAAACAACCAACCAAT